GAACCGTATCAGTTTTTGATTGGCAATGGTAGAATGGCTGAAAACCAAAAACGAAATCAATAATACCAATACACCTAAGGCTATGGCAGCATATTGCAGGTTACTCTTATGTTCTTTGTCTATTGTTAGCTGTCTTTCTTCTTCAGCCATCAACTGCGTTTGTATTTGTTGCCTTTTCATCTTGCCAGTAAGACTATCCTTCATGGTATAATACAACCTCATATACCTTAAAGCACTATCGCTCTGATTGGCTTTTTCATAAGCAAGGTAAACGAAAGGAATTGCCCCAAGTTGAACTTTAAAGAACGCAATTTTTGCTATCTGGTAGCCAGCAAGTGCATAATACAAAGCGGAGTCTGCTTTTCCTTCTAATCGGTAGTAAGTGGATAAAGTACCATACACAGCAACCGCTGTTTTAGCATCCTTTTTGATATACGGCTCCCGTAAGGCGGAATAACAGTGCTCCAAAGCAAGTGATTTTTGTCCCCGTAAATAATACATCATTCCCATTCCTATCAGGGCATCAGGAATCATTTGCTCTACCTTCTGTAACATAGCGAGATCATATTTACGCTGCCGGTAATACGCTGCCGAATCCTGCTTGTTTTGGCTGGCAAGAATATTAGCAATATTTCCATATTCAAAGCACATGAAATAATAATCATTGGCAGCAGTAGAAGCAGCCAGGGCTTTATCTAATATCCGTCTTCGTTTAATGGGGTCTTCATAAACAATTGAAAGGTTATCGTATGCAATACCAATTGCCTGCTGGTTGCCTGTTTCATCTGCAAGGCGGCAGCCTTTGAGAATTGTTTCGGTGCCCTGTACCGTGTTGCCTATATAATAAATGGCATAACCCATTTCTGCTGTTACTATTGATTCTGCAACCTTATCATTCGATTGGTGGGCCAGTTCAAGCAGTTTTTTATAATAATACAAAGCCTTTTCAGGGTCGTTGTCTCCTGAATCTCCAATAATATCATATATAAGCTTTATTCTTGCTTTTTCATCTTTTACAGTAGGGATAATTTTTAAAATACTGTCCTTGTTTTGGGCCTTACTGCAGTATGAACTGATGAACAGAATAATCAATACAAAACTTACTTTTTTCATTCGCTTTTTTTAATATGATTGAAGGCTTGTCTTTTATGATGTTTGAGGTTCCTCTAATTCCTCAATTGTTTTCTTGGCCTGTGCCAAACGAATAGCTTTGTTTTTCTCCACCAATTTTTTGGTTGTCCAATGTTCTAGTTTATGGTGCAGTGGTACAATTAATGCAGCAATAGCCACCAATGCCAATAACATAAGAATGGGTGAATGGTGAGTAATTTTTTCTAGCCAAGGATGGATAAGTAGATTAATAAATTCAAACACTACCAACAACACCAATACACTTAAAAACGCTACCACTTTATGGCTTACCAACACACTTCTACTTAGTAATAGAAACAAAATAACAGCACTTAAAATACCAATGGCTGTAATGGCTAGTTGTATGTTATGGTTACGGTTTTCTTTTTCTTCTTGCTGGATAATCTCTAAATCTCTCTGGCGTAATTCTTCTTTTATTTTGACCTGCTGTACCTCACTCATTTTTTTTGTATTATTCAGGCTATCATTCCCCTCAACGTAAAAGAGTAAATACTTCATGGCACTGTCTTTACTATGCTGCTTTAAGTAGTATGTATAGAGCCATTTGGCAGAAGTAACTTTTTTAGAATAGGCCATCTGTGTTTCAAACTCAAAAGGCTTTTTCTTATAAAATAACATAGAGTCCTCGTTGTTTACTTTGGTAAAATAGGAAGCCATACCATTATAGGCTTGCAATAAATAATAATCCTGATTTTTACTAATTGCCTGCTGCAGATTTTTTTTTAAATAGCCATAGGCAATTTCAGGCTGGTCCATCTTTAAATAAATACGTCCAAAAAGACTCGTCATGTAACTTGATGATAAAAAGTCAACTCCAATTTTCCCGTTATAGGCCTTTTGTGCATAGGTTAAAGCAGAATCTAGTTGGCTGTTCTGTAAAAAACTGTTAGCCAAACCCATCAATACAAATGATTGGTAGTTATCATCAGTACATAGAGAAAAAGCTTTTCTATAGTAAGCAATTCTTTGTGTAATATCACTTGATCCACTTCCTTTAAAGACGTTGACAATAGCTAAATAATTCCCATTGTCAGGTATTGACTCTGCAATGATTGTTGCTTTAATAAGATACTCCTGATATTTTTGTCCTTCAGATAATCCTCCATATACATTGGCAAACATAATGTTGCCCCCAAATTTTATTATTAGATCATTGTTTTTTTCTCCATAGTCCAATAACTTTTTTGCCCAGACAAAGTTTACCTCTTCTGATAAATTCTCCATAGCCTTAGTAAATGCAGTAAGCTGCCCATATTTTGCAGTATTGGTTTTTGAGGTAATGACTTGTTGCCATAAGCTATCGATATTTACCTGTTGGCTAATTGCAGGCTTAGCAAACAGCAGCAATAGTGTAAGGCAAATGGTTTTGTTTAATAGCAGTTTCATGATGTGGTTGTTGGGTTGTTGTTATCGGTATTTTTCTCTTCCAATTCCTCAATGGTTTTCTTGGCCTGTGCCAAACGAATTGCTTTGTTTTTCTCCACCAATTTTTTGGTTGTCCAATGTTCTAGTTTGTGGTGCAAAGGCACAATCAATGCGGCAATAGCCACCAATGCCAATAACATTAAAATAGGGGAGTGATGTGTAATTTTTTCCAACCAAGGATGGATGAGCAGGTTGATAAACTCAAATACAACCAGCAATACAATCACACTTAAAAATTCAACTACTTTATGGCTTACTAATATGCTCCTGCTGAGTAGCAGAAATAAAATAATGCAACTTAGTATGGCAATGGCAGTAATGGCTAATTGAATATTATGGCTCCTTTCTGCTTTTTGTTTTTGAAGCGTTAATTGCCTTTCCTGTTCTTTCAAATCCTCCTCAAAGGTTAAGCTTTCAATGGCAGAAGATTTATCCCTGTTGTATAAGCTGTCGCTTGAGGCGATGTACACTTTTTGATAATGGTGAGAACTGTCTAACTGTTGTTGAATATCAAACAGCTCGGCCAATAACTTACTGGCATCCCTGTTGCCTTTCAAGTAATTTATTTTTTCGGACAAGTGCAAAGACATCCGTGCATAGTAAATTGCCGAGTCTTGATTTTTTGTTACTTTAAAACAATTGGCTAAACCCAAATACGCCCATGCCATTGGCCTGGTTCCAAAAGCAGCATACCTGGAAAGCATCATTATATGAAGGCTAGATTGATAGTATGCCTTTGATATTGGAATGTTGCCCAACCTGAACTGTATATTACCCAAGTAAGTTTCTATTACCGACAGTAGCGACATTTCTTTTTTGTTCATGTTCAGTGCGTATGCCCGCTGCTCAAAATGAAGGGCAGAATCCAATTGGTTTAGTTGTGCATAAGCATATCCTAAGTTTAATGTGGCAATCTGTTCCTGTAACATACTGTTGCAGCCTATGGCCATATCGTAGGCTTTTTTGTAGAATACCAATGCTTTGGCATAATCTCCATATTCCTTGTGGGCGTTTCCAATCATTGAGTAAAGTCCGGCAATTATGGAACTGTCGTTCAAAGCTTTTGCCAATACAAGTGCGGCATACTGTTGTTTTAAAGCATCGGCTGTTTTGCCTTTGGTAAAGTCACGCTCTGCATATTGCCTTAAAACCTTAATCGTGTATTTCTTGTGGTTCAAGTCCTCCGCCAGCTTTTGCATTTGGGCTAAGTAATAGGAGCCTGAATCTGTTTGGTAAGAACTGTACCATGAAATCAAACTATCTATCGCTATAAGTGTAGTTGTATCTTTTTTGCCCTGGCTGGCAATCGCTTTCCATTGTTCCAGTTTTGCTTTTTGTGCAAATGCATGGATGGTGATAAAAAATGAAGTAAAAAAAATGATGGTTGATCTCATAAAAATTAAGTTGTAGGTTGTTCCAATTCCTCAATCGTTTTCTTGGCCTGTGCCAAACGAATTGCTTTGTTTTTCTCCACTAATTTTTTGGTTGTCCAATGTTCTAGTTTGTGGTGCAGTGGCACGATCAATGCAGCGATAGCTACCAATGCCAATAACATTAAGATAGGGGAGTGATGTGTAATTTTTTCCAACCAAGGATGGATAAGTAAGTTGATAAATTCAAACACTACCAACAATGCAATTACACTTAAGATTTCTACCAGTTTATGGCTTACAATAATGCTTCTGCTGAGTAACAGAAATACAATAAGCAAACTAAGAATAGCAATGGCTGTAATAGCTAATTGAATGTTGTGGTTGCGGTTTGCTTTATCTTCTAATTTTGCTTTTTCAAGTTCCTGTTGCCGCAATTCATCTTCAAACTTGGCTGCCTGTAATTGAACCACTTTGGTTGTACTGTTAATGCTGTCATT